CAACATTGCAAACAACCAATCACAGCCCTCTGACATCATCAGTGTGCTGTCATTGCAAACAACCAATCACAGCCCTCTGACATCATCAGTGTGCTGTTCCTGTGCTTCTTCCGAGCTAAGCTAGTTTTCCAAATAGAGGTTAATACAATTAAACAAAATCCTCAGTAACATTGAACAAAAACCTTGTAAGCTACTGCAGTGTTAGCGTGTTAGCTTGCTAACTAGGTAGGCTGTGCTAGTGGGTAAATGTTTAATTGGCTATAAAGGAGGGAAAATGTGTTAATCACAGGCATTTGCAACTGAAAGATTTTATTATCCACTCTCTTTGTTAGTGAACATATTTTAGCCTATTGGCAAGCTTACTTGTTAGCATAGTCAACTGAGTTAGCAAGCTAACAAGCTAACTCACTAACCCTGCAGTAGCTTATATGGTGTTTGTTTAATGTTACTGAGGATTTTGTTCAGGGCTGCGATTGGCTGATTGCAATGTTGGTCCAGGAACGCGATGTGGGATGTCGATCCAGGAGCATGTCCTACTTGGCAGAATCAAGTTGTGCAACATGTATGTGCCGCCACCATCTATAACAACAAAGAACAGAGAAGCTCAGGTTACAACATACAGAGAGGGAGCGTGACTTCATTCTCTGCTCAGGACGCCATTACTCTACTATATCGTTACATAGTAAATAGTGGTTTGCTGCTGTATTAATGCTCTGAATGTTGCAGCTCCTTTAAGTTATTTAAGAGCACAGATTTGTTTTTGCTGCTCCATACTTCCAGACACCTTAATGGATTTCTTCAAAATAAAAGACTAAACTGAAACAAACCTAAAGAATTTATTTGTGGGCTGTATTTAATAATGAATTCTAAACATATAAGTGGCCTGAGCTGAAGGGCTCTCAGTTTCCTTAGTGATGTTGTCTGCAGCTATTCGCCAGAAAGAGAAAACGGTAAATAAGTAAACACAAAAGAGGTAAACATGGAGATGTTTTCCTGCAGCTTGAGGCTAGGGGGAAACTGGGGTTAGTGGGACAGCCGGTGACTGGTCTGATATTTCCCACTTGTCGGGACACTGGTTGAGAAAGTGAAAGAGGAAAGCTGACTCCATCCACTTTGCTCAGCTCATCACTCTTTGTCCCACTGCTGCTGCCCTGCCACCTCCCCTCTATTTATACTCCCCTGGAAAAAAAAAAAAACCCTACGCTTTGCTTCCTTGTGAATGTGCTGTGTTGCATGTGTATTATGGAAGCACTGGGGGGGCTAAACACAGCCGACCCTTTTCATGTTTCCTCGTCATCGGTGTTGGACAAAGAGCAGCCGGTGGCAGAGATGTTCTCAGAAAACAAGAGTCATGTGACGAGCTGCAGGGCTGCAGGCGGACACTCACTGTTAGAGGATCTTTCTTTATTGTCAGCGTACCACAGTGCGCCGCATAAGGAGCTGTTTATTTGGGTCAGCCAGCGAGACGGAGAGTCAGTGTGTCCTCTCTGAGCTAACAGTGTACACAGTAGCTCAGGGGAAATACTGCTCTCTGTTACCATGAGACTGTTGGAAGCTTTTCGGAGGCTGGGTGGTATCTGAAAAAAGTTTGAATATGATCATTTTACCACAGTGTTTCCATTATTCCACCCAAATTTACCCTCAACAGATTCAAAGTTTTTAACATTTGTTCCATGCTAGAGTTTGTCACACTTACAGTATAAGGGAAGCAGTAAAAGGGAAGGAGGAAAGGACATAAGGAAGGAAAAAATATAGATAGATGGAAGGAAAGAAGGACGGACAGGAGGAAAAAGGGAAAGGAGGATGAAAGGCAGGCAGGGACAGAAGGAAGGACGAACAGAATGAAAAAGGAAGGAAGGGAAGGAAAGAAAGATGGATGGAAGGAAAGGAAAAAGGGAAAGAAGGATAGAAGGAAGGAAATGACAGAAGAAAGGATTGATATAATGAAAAGGGAAGGAAGGAAAGGACAGAAGGACAAAAAGACTGAAGGAAAGAAAGATTGAGGGAAGGAAAGAAGGATGGATGGACGAAAAGAGGAACGGATGGATGAAAAGAAAGAAGAACGAATGAAAGGAAGGAAAGGACAGAAGGAAGGCAGGAAAGAAGGATGGATGAAAGAAAAGAGGAACGGATGGATGAAAAGAAAGAAGAACGAATGAAAGGAAGGAAAGGAGGACAGAAGGAAGGAAAGAAAGTAGGACGGACAGAAGGAAGGCAGGAAAGAAGGATGGAAAGATGGAAAGGACAGACAGAAGGAAGGAAAGACTGAGTGAAGTAACAGGACGGAAGGAACGAAAGCAGGAAAGATTGAAGCAAGAAATGAAGGATGGAAAGAAAAGAAGGAAAGACTGGAGGAACGAAAGAAGGACAGATGGAGGAAAGAAAAGGTGGACGGCATAAAAGGAAAAGGACCAACAGAAGGAAGGCAGAAGAGATGGATGGGAGTAAGGAAAATAGGGAGAGAAGGAAAGAAAGACAGACAGAAGGACAAGGGAATTAAGAAAGGAAAAAAGGACAGACAGAAGGAAGGTAGAAAGGAAAAGGAAAGAAGGATGGAAGGAAGGAAAGAAGAAAGGCCCATTGTGGATTTTTTTACCATCTATATTGAATAAGACAAGTAAAAGAAAAAAGAAAAAGAAAAGTATAAAAATAAGATATATGAGAAATAAAGTAACATTTTTGTCCACAAATATTTCACATTTTGATAAACAGGTGATGAAAACCAGAAAATTATAATATCTGGAAACTTAATTGGTGCACTTGTGGCATTGATCAGTGATGTCATCAATGTTACAGGAAAGTTTAATGTGCCTTGAGTGGTAAAAATAATATTTAAAGTCTACAATGTGTAGATTTTGAAAAAGTGAAAAAACAAAACAAAAACAAACATAAAACAAATCAAAACACAAATACATAAACTGTACTAATGTTCACAATGTTGTCATTTTCCTCCAAACGAAATTGATGCTATTAGATTAAATTCAGTTTTACACCTCGTGGCTTTAAACGGACTGACAAACACACTCAGCCTCTCAGCACTGCTGGGAATGCGCAACAGCAGGTCTTTTACTTTGAAAATAAAGACAAAAGGAAGTTGGCACAGCGAGGACAGATTCCTGGTGGACGTGCAGCCGTGGAGCTGGATCATTGATCCCTAGCAACAAGCGCCTAGCAACTGCAGCTTGTTTGGTGGATCCCACTCGGTGTCCCCACGAGTTGTTGGCGCCGCAGGACGTCCGTCTGACTCCCCGAGACGCCACAGAGGCAGCGAGCTGTGGTATCACTTCACGCTTGGCCAGGCTCATTGTGCACAGAGTGGTGTGGTGTTGATGCTGTAGTCAAATAAACACTGTATCTGTCTGTGGTGGGGAGGATTGACAGCAGTGATACCAGCGACACATGGCTCACTTTAAGCTGAAGGTCTCTTATAGATGAATTCATGGCTCTGACAGGTGCTTTTATTTACTCCTGTCCGACGGCCCCGTTAAAGCTGAAATGTTTGTGTTTGAATCATATTTCTTCCTTAAGTTGTTAAGGCTGCTGGTCTTATTTTTCTTCCCTGTGCTGTTCAGATAAAGTTAATGAAATAAAAAAAATTCTATTCCTAGCCTGTAAAAATAATGGACGTAGCTTCCGTGACGTCACCCATTGGTTTGTGGACTCCAGTTTTGAAACTTTGAGTTCAGCATTTCAGCTGTCGCCATCTTGTTTTTTGGGGCCAGAAGTGACCATATTATGGTGGGAGGCTGGCGCTGTGAGAAGCTGAGGACACTTTTGGCAGTCATTCAAAGCAGCCCGCACTTAATTATGTGAAACTATGAGCCTTAATAGAATGTAAATGGGTGAGTTATACACTAATGACTCCCCTGTACAGTTGTCATGAATGAGAAAATAAGCTATAGAGACTAACACTGTTGTTTGCACCAGGCTGTAAAAATATTTATTGCTGCTGTAAAGTTGGCCATTTTAACGTGTGGGTCTGTGGACATTGACTGGCTTCTGGAGTTAGCCTCAAGTGGCCATTAGAGGAATTGCAGTGTTTTGCACTTCCATGTTGGCCTCAAATTTGCAGCCAAACTGTTGCAGCATTTACCGTGAAGGGACTTGTTGTGTACGCACTCATAGGCACGATAAATTGCTTTACAGGAGGATAATCTGAAAAATCTTTGTTTAGCACGCTTTAATAATGCTATATGGAATTTTTTTTGCTATCATTCATTTGGCTACTGACTGAGTCTGGTGTGCTTTATTTTTTGGGATGCTCTGCTATTCTTAGAAAACTTTTTCCGTGACCACAGAGAGCCCAGGGAGGTGAGTAAATCTCATTTTTTCCACACCATTAAATATTTATAGAAGTAACAGTGTCATCTTGTCCAAGGAAAAACATGATGGCATTTTTCCCATTACCACTCAAACACACTCAAACTGTGTGTGTTATCTTATCAGAAGTAAGCAGTTCCTGCAGGCAGCAGCAGCGTAGTAAAATCACAGCGACCAGGTTTATTTTCAGATGAAATAATTGGCTCGTTAGAGGGTGTGAAGGCACAGAGTGACAGCTGCTAACACTTATAAACATCCTCCTTTTAACTGCACTGCTGTTTGCCCAGATGATGCAGGAGTGAGATTCCTGCTGAATGCCAGGTCAGTGGGGATCTATGTGAAAGGTTGCACGTTGGACTCGCACCAAGCTGCTGCTGTTGAAATAAAGCTGCATTTAGCCTTCCATTTGTTGTGAAACGTAGCCTTGCTTGTTTCCGCTCTCAGGTCAGCTCTGATCATCAGATACACCACCTGTGACTGCTGCTCAGCCTCTGCCATTACATAATCCCCTCTAACAGGTTGCTGCAACATTTAGCAACAGCACTTTTTTTGTAGTTTGTTTCTGGGAAAGCAGGAAGAATTCCCACAATGTCACACCGGAGATGGGGAACGGAGGGGAGTGTGTGCATACATGGTTTGTAAACTTTTTTGTGTTCTCCTCTTCTTCATGTCCACTGCAGCTCAGTGCAGAACAGCGAGAGAGGGAAGAAGATCGGAAACGCCATGATGACCACCAGTCGCAGTATGGTCCAGACAGGGAGGGCAGTGGGTAAGAAAGCTCAGTAAACAATCACAAAATGAAATGTCTGAGGGAAGATATTCAGGGTGGCACCCAATAAATAAGCTGAAAGGGATCAGTGTCTCACTTCTGCTGCTGAGACAATATTTTCGGTGTACATGAACCAGAACAACGTATTTCCAATAATCATGTAAACTGTAGATTTATTAATCATTGCAATTATAAAATTCAGAAAATGATTCATGAAAAATGTTCATCCAATGTTCCCAAAGATTTATAAGAATGTGAAACAGAGAAAGGCGGCAAAACCTAACATAAGCAGAAACTGGCTGATGTTTTGTATTTGTGTTAGTGCGTTTACTTAAAGGTGTCTAAGATTTAGGGGGATTTAGTGACATCTAGTGGTGAGGATTGCAGATTGCAAAAAGCTGAAACTTCTCCTGGTTAGGATTCCCTCAGTGTTCATAGTTAAGAAGTTTTTTTTCTGGGAGTTGAATTATCTGTAGAGTTCTCCTCTCCAAAACAAACAGATGCAGTGATTTAAAACGGTAAAATCACTGAATAAAGCAGTTTCACGTTAGGAGAATAAGTAGCCCCTTTTACACTGCCAGATTTTCAGCGAATGTTGGGCCGTATTGCCGGCAAGCTGCGAGCATTTAGACACAGAGATGCGGATTGGCGAGTTGATCCGAGGTGCCTAATTTCCGCCTCGTAGGATAGTCATATTGGTGGAACCCTTTTAGTTTAAAAAGACCGAGGCAGCCTTCCACAATGGGAGGGGCTGTTGATGACTTGTGGGAGGAGCTGTTGATGACGCCGCAGGTGCGACCCACTGGCGGTGGATAAACAGGAAACAGCTGATAGCTTGAATTAGCGAGCAGCTAGTAGCAAGAGGGAAAGGCAAACCTGACAGACACTGTAAAGATGAGCAACTGGGGAGACAAAGAATTGCGCACCCTCCTTGCCCTCGCAAACGAAGAGGCCATTAACCGTCAGATGATGGGAACAGTGAAGAACGGGCTGACTTATGAGAGAATCGCCGAAGGACTGACCAGCCGCGGCTTCCCTCCCACGTCACTGTTTACGTGACGTGCTGGGCTACATGTTTTGTTACTCGCTCATGCCCCCATTGCCCCGAAAAAGGCGCATTCTGTATAAACAAAAGGAGGTAGGCGGCATTTTGCCGCACTCCCCGATTTTGTTTTTATACTGCCAATGCTGAAAAAAGACTGATTGGGCTTTCCTGCAAATTTGCACAACTCCTATCTATAAAGGGCAAGAGTTTTTCTGACGCTACTCGTCTCTTAGGGGCTGTGAGCTATGGTGGCTGGTGCAAAAATGCAAATGTCCCTATCTAGAGCCAGTGTTTGGTTTGTCTGTTCTAGGCTACTGTAGAAACATGGAGATACAGCATAGTGATTTCTGTAGATAAGGACCCGCTCCCTATGTAGATATAAACAGCTCATTCTGAGGTAACAAAAACAAAATTTTTATTTTCAGGTGAATGAACACTAAAGAAAACATACTTAGCATATTCCATTTCTGCCAATATACCCCCTAAATTCTACACACTGGACCTTTAAATGGTTTTCAGAGTTGATGAATTTTATGTCACTCAGTTAATTGATTAATGGTGTCACCACTAATATCACTAATTCTCAGACTCTTAGGATAAAAATATAAATGAAAACACATGCTGCCCTCTCAGCCAGCTCTACTTGAAACCAAAGTACATTCTAATATTTGCAGATTTAGATAGTGTACAAGAAGCTTTTGTGCTTGTTTTTTTAATTTTTATTTTTAAATAAAAATTATTAAGTCATATCTCCAATTCCATGGCAATCAGAGCTCATGCTAACCAGCCAGTTCTTCTGTTTATTCCAAATAAACCAAAAAAATGTAAAATGTATCTCTTCCTGTCTGTCAAATGATTTTCCTACTTAAGAACAGCATGTCAAAATGTGATGAACTGGTTTTAATAATTGTTTGCAAATTGATGGCAGACCCATACGGTATTTTCGCCTGTAGAATTTGGACGGTACCTAAGCAGAATTAAGATAAAAATTGTTATCTTAAATGAATATCATCTATCATATTAAATGTTTGTTTTAACAAAAAGAAGCTAATGTCGATGTTGCTATGGACACGTTTTTGTTGATCAGTAGGACAGAAATAAAAAAACAAATATTTATTTACTTGTTTTGTGAAGTCTGACTCTTCTCCACCTCTGCTCTCAGGTCAGTCTGTGGGCGGAGCATTGACCAGCGCCAAGTCGGCCATGTCCTCCTGGTTCTCCACCCTGGCCCAACCTGCAGCTGTAACCACTCCAGAGTATGCGGAGCCCGCCACAGAGGTCCAACCCTGAAACCCAGCAGTCCCCTGTCTCTGACTTTGTCCTCGTCCTCTGATCTTCTGCCTGCTGAAGCCTGAGGGTCAGTGGACTGAGAGCTGCATTTATGAAGGAAAAAATGGTCATTCTCAGCATCAGGTTTTAAATCTGAACCTGTCATCCTTATGTTTGGTGACTCTGGGTGATGCGACAGCACTCTGGACAGGAAGATAGCGCAGCCGTTATACTAACTGTACAGTCCATATCCACTGTGAGGCAAAGACTGCCAGCGCTTTTGATCAAAAACCCAGAAATTTCAGCAGGCTGCATCACATCTGACCGCCTGTTTGGATTCCTGGATGCTTTTTCCTGTGACACACTTAATGATGCTGTCGTTGGGGTTTACGGTGTTTAATCTTTTGCTGCATTTCTAGACTTTGTCTATATAGCTGACTATTTTGCTGACAGAAAGTACATAAAAACAAAAATAAATTGGTGTTACGGGATTTGAGCATGAGCTGTGGCACCTTGAAGATTTATAACGGTTTAGATTTTAAATTAAGTCTGGCTCATGTTCAGTGATGTTGTTGTAATGACACTGTGGTTGTTGTGGTAACAGCATGAATTCCTGATGATAACCCAGCGGGCACCATACATCAGAATGACATCAGAGAGACGTTGGCGTCTTAAGTTGGACAGATGTTAAAAATATTTTATTTTAAATGTCTAATGATGTTAAAAATAGTTAATAGATGTTTTGCAGATGATTAAATGTCGGTATTATACATCAAGATGTGGCATAAGACATTAGGAAGACACTGGATACTTCACAACTTAAAACCAGCAGTTGACATTTACATTAGAGGTCCTGACACTGAATTTTGGTCACCCAACTTCACAATCTAAATTCAATCAAATATCAATGTCTAAAGACAGTGGCCATCTGGGAAAAATAAATTTTGAGTGACCTAACAATGATTTTCATTATGTTTTTTTTTTGTCTTTTTTAATGATTATTAGTTTTTTAATGTCAGAAAATAGTAAAAAAAAAATATCCAAAATATATTAAAAGGTTATCAAACAAAAGCCAAAAATAGAACAAAAAATATCAATAAAAATATGACTTAGCTAAATAATTTAAACTGAGATGCAATGCGTCAATAATTAAAGCTTATTTTCTGTTAAACTCACATCAGTTGGTTAAAAATAAAGCAAAAGCTTTAAGGCAAGATATGCTAACAAATGTAGCTAACAAATTCTACCTGGATTTTTTTTTTTTTTTTTTTTGGGGCAAGTTTGTTTGACGTAATGAGACATTAAATCATTCACATTTTCAAAATGTTCATAACTTATTCCCAATGTGATCTTTAATCAAAAGAAAAGAAGATAATGTTATAAAGATAAATGCCTGGTGTCAGATTAACTTCTGAGTAGCATTAGCTTACTGGCTAAAATGCTTACTGTTTCAAAAGTAATACTACAAAAGTATGCACTACAAGTTATTGGATAATTACCATCATGTACACAGGCGGGTGTAGTTTTATCACAGATGTTAGCTTTAGTGAGGTAGCTAGCTGAAAGAATGCTTAGCTAACAGTGTTTTCAGTAAAGCTAATGTTAGCTAGCCACAGAGTCCTCTGGATTATTCCACTGAGGAAATGTTAAGAGGAAAAAGGATAATTATTCATAATGTGGCAACACCAAAATAGAATACATGAAGTAATTAAATTAATTAACTTTTAATTAGTTTTATCAACTGGTTTGTGGTGTAGAAAATAATTAAAAGCTTTTTGCTACTTTTAGCCAACTGCTCTGAGCTTAAATGCAAAAAGATACACCTGTTATAATTATTTTTACCCTTTATTTTAAATATCTAATGTACTGTGTTATTTGTTGATGTATTAGCTATACCTTTGACTTGTCTGATAACCTTTAAGTACATCATTTCAATTTCCCGGTCTTAAAATTATGAATTTTGTCCAACCAACAGTTGATAACTCCTAAAATATTAAATTTAAGACTATATAAAATAGATAAGCACGCAACAGAGAATATTGCTTTTTTTTTTTTTTGGATAAATGACAAAACTTGAAAAGCAGCTCTGGAATTTTACATTTCCTGTTAAACAGGTTTCTCTCCATTCTCAAGCTTCTATGACAAATGCAGAACAATACATTATTTACAAAATCTGCTGTTATGGCAATAACCACAGTGTTATTACGTAAATCCTTGTGTACCTAATGCCTGACTCTGTGCCCTGATAAACATGATGAAAACTTCCCTTGACTATGAAGGAACCTGCACCCAGCTGTGTGTTTGATTAACCCTCACCCAGGCCTTTTTATAAGATATATATATTGGGAGAACTATATTTAGTAAATCTGAGAATAGTTTAAAGTCAGATAACTTATTTATTTGTTGTGTATAAACTCCATACATATCCATGTTTTGTCATGACAACACTGGAACAAGTCCTAATCTGTGGACCACTGTGTGTATTTGCACAAAGCAGCCATTATATTCTATTTATGTGAATCGTTATCTTGTATAACTGTAATTCTGAGGTGCTTACAGGATCTTTTCCCTCCATGCTTCAAATATTCAACAACAGTTGGATTAAAAGTGGTCCAGTGAGCATGCTGTCCAGTCCAGTTTTACAGCTGTATTGAGTGTCATCCCCGTGTCTTTAAAACTATTGTAATTTTTTTTCTGGTTTTCATGCTTTTAAACCTTCTTTGGCCATTGAGTCATTTTGGGGAATTTTCTTTTGATTTCTGGATTATAGTTCAAGAAAACATCATCTGTTAAAAGCTGCTTTTCGTTTCTTTTTTTACCCTCTGATGATATATTTTCATTTTGTATTTAACAGATATGAATGTATTGTGAATTAATATTCACAGAATATTTTCTTGACAGATGCTTTTAATGTATTTCAGAAGAAGTGATACTATATTGCTGTATTAAAAAATAATTAAAATATTCCTCAGACTTTTATTTCTAGTAGACTGCGATATAGGAACAATTCTTTCCTTTTATCGCACTGGGTGTTTGCGTCTGGGTACAAATGTAGGTCAGCAAAACAAAGTGGTGGCAAGTGTGTGTTTTTGTGAGAGGGTTGTTGTTGTGGTGGTAGCACATCGCTGCACAAATATGCACCCATGTGTTCGACAACAATCACAGCGGCATCACGGGGACATGAAGCCGCTGAGCTCATCCCGAGGCCAGCAGATATTCACACCCACTGATCCTGACCGACACCCAGTACAGCTGGACTGAGTGATTGTTTCATGTGCAGATTGTAATTTCTTTTGATTAATCATTTACCAGATCCTAAAGTGTCCTCAATGTTCTTACTTCTTTGATGAGCAGCCAACAAGAGTTTATCAAGAAGAAAAGAACTAAATCAAGTTTTAGTAAACAGTTTTAGTTCTCTTTTCTTGATAAATTATAAAACTAGAATAGTTTTCCTTAACTATTAATCAACGATCTCAGCACTTTTTCCATGTTTTAAAACCTGTGACTTTTTCCAGGCTATTCTCTGAAGGCTCAATTTAAAAGAGTGCTATGGCAGAAGTCTGTGTGTGTGTGTGTGTGAGACACGATGGCTTTTTATGTTGTTAGACCACTGTCAGTGTCTTATTTTTTGCCATAAAAATATAATTCTAGTACTCTACCCATATGGACTTGTCAGGTAAGGCAAAAACACTGTCCACAGAAATTCCTGATATAAGACTTTTGGCTTTCAGAAAAACAGAAAAAAAGGAAGAAAAACTTGTTTTTTCACCATATTTCTCAAATTGTTGAAAATAATTGTTTTGGAAAAGATGAAATGCTCAAAAGGCACAATTATTAAATTTTAAATTTAAGACACCACCAACTATTGATTATTTACATTAAAATAACTTAGTTTAGCTTTCATGTTCTCATTTGTAAGGTGTCAACCAGTAAAAACAACTCAAACGTGATTTCAGCAACTTTATAAATCAACTGGTAAGTGTTGTTTAAGTGATGTAAACAAATCCAAATCCACAGAGATGCCACAGAGATGTCTTAATTTTTTAAAAGCAACACATTTTATGTATCTGGCGGTGGGAAAAAAAACATGGCAAGTAAAGTTTTGGTAAATGATCAGTAATGTGTTAAGTTTTTCAATTTTTTTTCAGATATTCAGCAACAAATGACACTTTTTCCAACAGCTTACTTGGTGAAAAATAAGCATGTTTTCCACAAAACTATTTTTCATTTAAAAGAAGCCAAACGTCCCAAATGTTACATTACATACATGAATTTTTAGGTTTTATGATTAAACCAAACCCTTTGCTTAAAGAACAAATGAACAAGTCTGGACATTAATATACCACTTTTCAGTACTTATTTTTGGGTAAACAAAAAATGTTTTTGACTCAAAACCAAAGCTAAAATCAACCAGCTGTTTTACAAAGAAACTTAACAAAAACTGGAAGCAGCATGAAAAACTCCATACTTTCATAAAAACAAACGAAACATGGAGTCAGTTTCAGGAACGTTTTTGGTATGTTTTTTAATAAATTAACGTTCATTCAAAATACAGTGCCAAAGGAATATGATGCAGCCAAACATGCTAGTAAGGTTTGTCATGAAGCACCTGTGCTCATGTTTTTAAAGGTAGGAGGAAGACCCCCGCCCTTCCCCTCCCCAACCCCAACCCGCCCTCTCCACTACTGCTAGTGGTTGCTGGAACAATTTCCGTAGCAACAGCCGTGGGCCAGCCCTCTCCTCTCACAACCAATCAGCAGCAAGATTCCTCAATATTCACTCAAGAAAAATTAAATCTGATAGGAAAATGGATATCTACCCACAATCACACTACAGTAATGTTTAATATTAAATTAAAAAAAGACACTAATACAAAATAGACCTGGTTATTTTCCCCACACTAGAACAGTTGTCTTTTAAACATATGAAAAATATATATTTTATTATATATATATTTCAGCAGCTTGGAAATAAAAAAAAAAAAAAAAAGCATGAGCCCAAAACCTAATGAGAGTGGAGTTGTGTGTTTGCAGAGACCCTCGTGGAAAGAAAAACAAAAGATCATGTGACGACAGATGGAGTGAGGTGTAAACTGCTGGCTGTGTGGAAGACCTGTGTCCAAACAGACTGACAGACGGGCTGCGGAGGCGCTATAGTAGAGTTGGGGTGGAGGGCAAAGCGGTGAAGGAGGAGAGGTGATAGGTGGCCGGACCTGCAGCCACCCTCTTTTTAAACCCTCTCCGCCTCTCACTTGTTTCCCCCGTCAGCCCTCCAACCCCTCCCAAAAACTACGGCCTCTGTTCCTCTCGTCTGTGGGGCCTTTTTGTTGAAGAAGAAATGTGTGGATCCGGTTTTTAAAGGAACACTCAAAAAAATCTAGCAAATACTTGTAAGCTTTGAGATGTGGCTCTGAAATGTTTATATTTTGCTCATTTGTGGAGGATGGTAATTGTATTTAGCCTGGATTCAAATGGAAACCCAAAACCACAGCAAGAAAACATGTCTATAAACTTGTGCTACAAGGATAAGTTAATAGACAGAATCGTTTAAGTAGAGCTCTAACTAACACTTATTTTCATTATTGACTGTTTAATCTATAAAATGTAGTCGTAATAGCTCAATTAGTAACCTTAGTTCAAATCAAATAAAACACTTACCAAATTATCGCCAATTTTTTGTCTTTACACCAATCTAGTTGTTTCAGCTCTACATGTGATGGCCAAAATACACAACACGTCATGTAGGTGGAGCGCGTTTTTTTTCTTATTATTTTTTTTTTTTAACCTGCTGTGCCAGCTTCACTGTGTGCATATTGAGGGTTAGGAAGCATCATAAGGGGTACTGAAGCAACAAACTGGATCGTTTTAACTACAGGATGCATCAATCTGGTACAATGAGGTGTGATAATGTTTAAACAGATTGTACTTGTTTTTTTTTTTTTTTTACACAAATCTGTCATGTGATAACAGCTTCGAGCAGTGTGTTGAGCAGCTCTATGCCTGCGCTGGCAAGCTTGACTTGCGCAGTCAGTGAAGCAGCTTCAGTTGACTATACAGGGATGTGCTCTGCTGCGGCACACCAGTCACACTGCATCCATGCAGTCATTTCTCAAGCAAAACATTCTCTAGTTCAGGCTTCTCAATGTAAGGATTTGTTTAACAATTTTGTAAATTTAAAACTTCTTGACTTCTGGACTGCTGGTTAGAAAGGTCAAGCTATTTAAAGATGTAAGCTTTGAGCTCTGGAAACTTGTGGAGGGCATTTTTTGACATTTCGTAGCCTAAAAGATAAATCAATCAATTTGAAAAATAGTGAACAGATTGATTATAAATGCAAATTATCTGTAGAAACAGCCCTGATCAAAATTTATCAAAACATTTGACAAAACGTTCTCAGAACAACGTCCAATTGCCAGTAACTTTCCAGAACTTTAAACCACAACGTGGCTTCAGTAGATCGAGTTTTCTCACTTGTCAGAGAGATGGTTTAATTATCATGTGACAATAATTCAGCTTAAAGTTTCATTATTGATTATTTATCAGTAGTTTGACAAAAGCACCAAGTCCATTTACTAGAAATTTTCTGGACCTTTCCGACATTTCTCTTGGCCATTTAAAAGTTAACAGATGGAGTTTGTCACGTGACAACCACTAAACCATTTCCCTAAAAACTAAGCAAAGTGTATCCACTGAAGGCCACGAGATGTGGCTGAAAGTAAAATAATTGGACCCCTTTGCCAAATTTACTTGTCAAACCACAATTTCCAGGGTCAATAATATATATATCATCAAGCTCAACATCAAACCATGCATAGAAACTTCTCATAGCACTCATGCTGCAGAAACTGCTACATGAGTGCTATGAGAGGTTTCTATGGAGCATTTTGATACCGAGTCTTTGAGTCCAGGCTGACTACAACTCCTACGTTCCACAAAGGAGCAAGCTCATAACTTTTAAGATAGTCTTTAAAGCCTCAGGTGATGTTTTATACTCAAATGATTTTCTTCTGAGTATTCCTTTATCAGTGGTGAGAGAAGAGAAAAAGAGGAGAGGAGGGGGAAGAGAGGGAAGCCATGATCGGAGGAGGGGGGGCTGGGGGATTTTGGTACAGTTGCCATTGTCATTCCGAGAAGGTTTACCAGTTAAGTGCATCATCATCCTCATCATCACAAAATCAGTCGACGTTTAGATTATCACATTGTAGAAACAGTATGACAGACTTGTAATAATATCTAACAGATGTCACAACTGACAAAATAAGAAAAAAAAAATTCAGATTACTAGTATTTTTGAGGGGCGTCTTTTCAAACATGTTTTGGGCTGCATTGTTCATCAGCAACAGCTAGAGCGAATGCAAGCCTCCAAAGTCCAGAGATCCCTCCATGAAACAAAGAACGTCAAACCCTTTCATATCTTAAAGAACCGAACTGCCCCCCCTTCATGTTTGTCCCTCTGCATTACAGATTCCTGGTTCAGTCAGCGAGGTAGGGGAGGGGAGGATAAGAGCTATACGTGAGGGAGGGTCACCAGCTCCCCGTCCACCTCGAACTCCTCGGCTCCGTCGGGGGAGAAGAGGTAGGTTGGGGGTTTCCAGGGGGACTCCTCCAGGCAGGAGGGGTACAGCTTCCCCACTGCACAACGGAAGTCCTTGCCCAGATCCCAGAGCACGCGCTCGGACACAGGCTGCCGCAGGTACCAGCGGTCCAGCTCCATGTCGTACTGATAGATAGCGTACTTGGCTCGCTCGTTCATGTGGGTTTCACGCATGAAAATGCACAGTGAGTTAAGCAGCACCACTGCCCGCACGCATGGGTCCGAGTAACGCTTGGCGGGGATGTTGGCGGCCTGGCGCCACTCGTTCTTGTTGACGTCATAGATCTCCACAGTGACTGAAGAGCCGTCGATGGTGCTCGTAGGTAAGCGGATGCCAGAGTTGCTGACCACGTGGAGGCCGCCGATGTAGAAAATGAGGTCACCAAAAGCAGCGGCAGAGGCGAAGCAGCGGCTTGTCTTGCGCATGGCCATCTCCACCCAGGTGTCAGCCCGGGGGAAGTAGCAGTACATCAGGTCATGGGTCATCACGTAGATGCAGTCGTGCGCCACCACAGAGGTGCTCCAGTTCCAGGCGAAGGGCAGAGGGCTCATCATGCTCCACTCGTCCTTCTCGCAGTCGTAGCGCTCCACCGTGCGCTTGTTCAGCTCGCCGCCAACGTTATCTCCCCCGATTGCATAGATGTAGCCCTCGCAGTAGACCAGCGAGGGCTTGATTCGGGCACAAAGCATGGGGGTTTTGGGTACCCAGGCATTCTGCTGGGCGTCAAACCAGAAGAAGCTATCAACGGAGCGGAAGACCGCCTGTAACTTTCCACTCTTTCCATGGTTAGTGATTGAGTTTTTGAGAGGGATCTGTCCACCAGCAATGAACACATCGTTGTCTGGTGTAACGAGGGTTCCCACCTTCTGCAGGTCTCCTGGTGGGTTGTTAAGCTTGTACACTTTCTCCGCCTGCGGGCTGTAACACACTACTGTGGTAGGTAAGGACCCAGACATCACATATCCATCACCCTGCGTTTCTGACATGGCCTCCATAAAGATCAGCATCTCCTCTTTCGTCATGCCTAACCGAGGTTTGAAGAACTTGGGCATGGACTTGTAGAGGCCCTGCACCACCACAGACTTGTCATTGGGTGGCAGACCCTGGAACCAGGCGCGCTGCGTCACCTCAGACAGTGCATCGATGCGGATCTGACTTAGCACAGAGGACAGGTGTTGCGAACGTGCCTCCATGTTATACTCCAACCACAGCATGGCTGCCTCACGCACCGTCTCCTCCTTCTCCACATTGAGGTTGTCGCTGCTCAGGACGTCTATCAACAGATCGTGGGAGAGCTGAAGGAAGGCCTCCTGCCTGTACACCATGGGGAACTTGTGCTCCACCATGCGCTTTGCGCTCTGCTTTAGCTCACTGCAGCTGAACATGTCGCCGATGCTCAGCATGCGGACACAGTTCTCAGCGTTTATCTTCTTCACAAGGTAGTCTCTGCACTGCAGCAAGACGTCCTCCACCTGAACAGAGGACAAGAGATGAGAGTCAGAGGTCTGTCAGAGAAAAACATCCCTCTTTGCATCAAAGGACACAGTAACAAAAGTGGAACAACACCAACAGTATGTAGATACATATTTATGTTTGTGACTTGTGTAAATTTACACAACCAAAGTTGTTTAAAGATGTAAATGAGTAGATGTAAAGACACAAACTAAAAAGACAAAGCCTGTGGATATTCTCATTCATCCAGGTCATAGTTATCTCAAGGCAAGTGAATCGAACGCAACTGGACTTGGTTTTGTCTTAGAAGACGTTTCACCTCTTATCCAAGAGGCTTCATCAGTTCATGCTTGTCTGACTAGGCTGGAACTAGTCTGACAAACTGGTGTGGAAACAACCCAGGTATTTAACCTCTGGGGAGGTCTTCACAAGGCCAATGATGTCACTGATGAAGCCTCTTGGATAAGAGGTGAAACGTCTTCTAAGACAAAACCAAGTCCAGTTGCGTTTAATTCAACTGCCTTGAGATAAATAGACAAACCATGTTTTTATTAAGCACTCTAACAGTTACAGATGACACTGATGAGACAATATTAGAATTTAAAAGCATGCTATATGTATGCTTTAGTCCATCTCAATACTTTTCCAATTCAATTTTTTAAAAGCTCTGTAATTTGCTTTAATAGCTGTAATCTAGTGGCAGTAGTTATTAGCAGACAATCAAACATTGCATTTATTAGTATTTTCAGCAGCAGATTACTTCACATTTGCAGCTCTAGAGAGTATTTGTTGCAGCATGGTGGTGTATGAGGGATTGAGTCAAATGAAACTACAGTGTGTGTTAATGGTAATGAGGGAATAATGTCCCCCAGTGCAACAGTGACAAAGTTTACATGCACAAAATATTCAGGTTTTTCCCCAATTTTCAAAAAAGGTAACATTCCTACTAAGATTTTACCATGACTAATAAAAACAAATATTCCACTGATATTCCTGTTTGACATGCAAACCTGCAAAGTGCAGTTAATGTGCCTTACCAAATCATTTATGTCAAAATACGCAAAAGTGGAATGGCTGGAGTTGTGTTTGCCATTTTGTGTCTTTTCGTCAAAATAGGACTTTCTGAAAGTTTTTTCACCTGTGGTCATCTGAACACAGTCTCCCTGTTTCATTCCTTCAACCACCTTCTCAAAAAGGTCGACACAGTGATATTTGCACACATTATAAAACTTGCTGACATACAAGTCTTTCATAATGTATGAAAGTAGATGCGTTTCTCCCTCCAACCAGAAATGTGGGCTATTCTTTTGGGCATGCATCTCTGCACTAGCTTTGCAAACTGTTGGCTAGGTGGTTTGGGATCAACACACAGAGCTGAACGTAAACAGGCAAGAGTCCGTGTGTCGCAAGATGCAGTAAAAATGGACAATAAGTCTTTGCACTGACCTGTAGGAAGCAGGCGGTCTCATAGAGTGGCTCCACGGTGCTGTCGCTGATGGCCAGGTTGCCCGTGTAGGCGTACGTGATGATGATCTGCAGCGTGGCCGGGTCCACGTTCCTCAGGTGGACGTGGGTCTGTTTGCTCTCACTGAGGCCACTCATGAACATCGCTCTGCAGGAACAAGACAACATCGGTGAGTCAACATGTGAGCACAAAAGCTACTGAATGAGGAAGTGTACTGCAAGATCTCACACTGATTAAGAGTGTGTCCATGAAGATAAGAGATTTTTATCAGCTGCTGAAAACAGCTTAAGGTTCAGCTCTGGCCTGCATTGTCTGACTGTGCTGTAATATGTTTTAGCACCAATTAATCAAGTCAGATTTCTACTGTGCTGCAAATACAAACCGGTGTCTGCAAGTGAAACTGGATCAATGGCACCTGTAACATCACTTCAGATATGTTTTTGTGCAGCAGTGATGAGATAAAAGCCAGTGATGCAAAGTTAGTGACAAACTAAATTAATGCAGTAACTCCAACAGCAAAAAGCTAATGCAAGCTGCTCACAGACATGAAAAGTCTTTTTTTCTGAATGACAAGTCTTGCTTATTTGTTCCACAACACATCTCTTCCAGGAGATATTAACATAGCAGTGTAAATGAATATTTTTTTCAAAGTAAACTAAATTTCCATTTTATTTGTATCAAATTCATTTTCCCTAAAATCTACAAATATGTGGGGCTCCTGGTCAACTTTCTGTTACCAACAAAGAGAGGACAACCTTTTAAATGTGCAGTTGGTGATAAAACTCCATATTTAGTCTACAGGTCTGCTGTTTTGCTATCCAGTTTTTCTTTTAAATAAACAGAGCCTCCTAATGATAGCTGGCCTCTCGCCAAAGTGGCTGTAAAAACAGTCAAAGTTACCAACCACAATCAGAGTACCTGTAATTGGCTGCTGCTGGAATGCATTCCCCATGTAGTGCTGTGAACTGAATGTTACTAACTTGATCTAGTTATGAGTGGATCTACATAATGCTGATATGGTGATATGATACCAGACGTATTCCAGGATTTGGGATATCAGAATATTGTGATGTATTCTTGGTATCATTTAAAAAGCTAGTAGGACAGCCGGTAACTCCAGGGGTCCCACACATTTTTACAAATTCATTTTCCAGACTTTTCCATAAAATTGTACCCCATTTCCATGACTTTACTTAAGTGGTTCAAATGGGTAGGCCTATACAGAAATATAGCCACACATTGTATACACACACTTCCCAGGCATTTACTGGTAAGCAAACTGCTAAGACTTGCTAACTTTATTCACTTGTTAGACATTCCCGTCGCCAACGAGCTGTCTATACATGTACAGATGTCCGGATCACTATACCTGGTTATTTTAACTTAATGTGTACATTTGGTTGAATCACCAGGCCTCATTAGGCAATGCGTTTTCAATAAATAACCAACCTGTTAACAACCAGCTGTTTGATCTACAAGCTGCGATTTAACTGGAGACAGCAGTCTGATGTTAATGCACTGTATGACTATACTGCATCAGTCTCTCATTAAAGCTAACATTAGCCATCCATTAGTAGTAACTAGGGCTGCACAATTAATTGAGTATTACTCACAATTGTGAATTTGGCTTCCTGCAATTAAATGATCATGATCGACTGTAATATTGACAATTAAAATGCATGCTCAGCTCACAGAAAACTCTTCTGGGTATCAAATGAAGCGCTTCCTAAACTAAGAGTTGTCAAGCTGCAAGGCATACACCCTGCAGCAGCAGCCTGGGAAAACGTTCCTGAATGTTGCAACTGCAGACGGGCTCATCCTTCCTCAACCATCGTCGTCTGCAGTTTGGGCATAGAGGAGATCAAACCACATGCATAGAGTGCTTGAGACGTGTCTACACCGCAAAGCAACAAATCTAACTGTTGATTTAATTGTGAAAGTGCAACAAAAATATTTTGTTTCTAAACACAATGAATAATCATGATAACATACTCGATATTGATACAAAAGTAGTGATTTACCACACAGACAGTGTTACAGTGACAGTAACATTCAGTATCTTCTACACGTCAGATCTATGTATGAAAGCCTTGGTTAACCTTCTACAAAACAGCTTTTTGCCTTTCTCCTGTTTCTCTCCTGATGTGACGGCACCTTTCTTTCCACAAAATGGAGGCGTGGCCCTTCTGATGATGCAATGCCAGTCTGGTCAATGTTTTATAATGTGACACTAGTGACATTTCAACAGTCAAGCAGCGCAGCACTAGATTTTAAATTGGTGATGCAAAGAATGTATTAGTGTTGTCACGATACCAAAATCTTTGTTTCGGTACCCATACCAATATGAATTTCGATACTTTTCGATACTCTTTGGTACTTTTCCTAAGGAAAAGTCCTTTTGGCTACAAACCTTTAGAACAATAAATAGTAGGGGTGTAACGGTACCAAAAAATCATGGTTCGGTAAGTACCTCGGTACGGACGTCACGGTTTGGTTGCTCAAATGTTTCACCAAGTTGGTGTTGTCTCGTGTTGTCTCCCTTTGCGAGGCAGACTTTCTCGTCTTTTTTCACGTATGCCAGCTGTGGATGTTGATACAGGTGTTGTCATACACACCACTTGCGCAATATGTGCAAATGCAGTATAGTACCGTTTGGAATACTCTAGTACCATGGTACTATTTTAGTACCGGTATACCGTGCAACACTAGAATGTATTTCATTAAACATTTTACGACGACATTCTGTTCATTCCAAACCAATTCCAAGCCTGAGAAACAGACCTTTTCCAGGAATTTCATGACCATGGAAACCCTGTAACACTTATTTTCATTACTGATTCATGTGCAGGTTATTTCCTTGATTAATTGAGTACCTTGCGCTTAGTTAATAAAATGAGTGACAAGTCCAAAACCCAAAGATATTCAAGTCAGTATCACAGAAGAAGCAGAAAAACTGCCATATTTATGCTTGAGAAGCTCAAAACTATTGTCAAAAGTCTGACAATTATTCCAGCTTAAAAGCCACATTACATTTAAATGATAAAATAAAGGGTAACTTATTAGTGTGAACTGAAGCCTGCTTGGTCATCCTTTCCACATTACTGTTGATTTTATCTTATTTAGAAACTATTTATCTGATTCAGCACATTATTTACAGGCGTACTGGCTCAGAGATAATTTTTGTTTTTCTCCATCATAGTGTACAAAACCAGAAGTTTTCCTGGTCTCAAAGAGCAGGACTGAACACTGCTGGTTTGTCTGGAGCAGATGTTAGCACGAACAGTTGTTGTACACTGATTAGCGTGTCCACCAACCCAGTTTCCTCATACTGAATGACAAAAAGTGAGAATCAACACCTGGCTGGTGGGCTGACTGTGCACAGTGTGGCTCCAGCTGGGCCTCTCTCTGCTGCAGCCTCGGCAAGCTGCCTACACTTCCATGTTGTCATTCATCAGAATGAGTCAGAGCCTCTTTAACCTCTTTCACTGCATCAATTTCTCACATTTTGTGCATCTGTGGAACTGTTATTGGCTTGAACCGGTAATTTGCATTTATTATGGCAATGTCTTTGGTGCCAAACGCTTGTAACTGCAGTGATGCTTCTGTGCTGCACTTGTCAGAGATAACATGTCAGACACACAGCGAGTGTTACTGTTTTATATGTTGTTTGTGTTTAGACTTTCCAAGTTTGAGTCTCAGTCGGTGGCATCATATACAAGCAAATGTTAACTATGCAGTTATTCTTCTGTTTATTCCATAGAAGACACAATGGCTGCGGAGGAATGTACAAACACATCACTTCCCGTGTGCCGAATACTTTTTCGTGTAAACAGTTCCAAGGGAAGGAAAAATAATGCTGAAACATTCAGTCCATTATCAAATGTCTTCATTGAGACAGATTTTATTAATCAATTATTCATTTAAGCCCTTCTATCGAGGAAACATTACAAAGATTTGCTGCTTCCAGCTCCTGAAATGTGAGTATTTGCTGCCATTTTCTTTTTAATATTACTGCATATTATTAATAAATTAATTACCTTTGGTTTGATGGTCACACATTTCAAGTGCACACATGTGAATGCAGTGCACAGAGAGGCAGTTAGAGCTGCAGGCTATAATGAGGCTAAAAACAGACTTCAAATGACGTTTTTCCAAACAACTTTTTATGTCGGGGCTTCAGGACACTTGGATCACTATGGACAAGCAGTATGGAGATATTTTGTGGTTTCAATTATGTGTTTTTGGATGTTTGAATCTGGGGCGCCATAAGCCTCTATTAGGTGGAGTTGTGTTGCTACCCCCTCTCCCCTGAGATCTCCACAAGTGCTGTGAGGACTCTAAAACTTCACCTGAGCCTCCATTGGCATATGGGTGAGTAGATAATGGCTGAATTTTCGTTTTTGGGCGCACTATCACTTTAAAGTATAATAAATTGAATATCTCTGTGTTTTTAAGTGTCAGTCGAACCAAATATGACATTGTAGACGTCATCTTGGGCTTTGGGAAATTGTGATGGGCAATTTTAATTATTTCCTAACATTCTGTAGACAAACCAATTAATCAGAAAAAAGAATCTGCAGGTTAATCAATGATGAAAATAATTGTTAGTTGCAGCCCTTTAAGGGACAGTTCGCTACAAAATCAAAAATACCTATTTTCTCTTACCTGTGGTGCTATCTATCAACCTAGATTGTTCTGGTGCGAATTGCTAAGTGTTGGAGATATCAGCCATAGAGATGTCTCAGCGCTGCAACGATAATTTCAGCTCACTGGGGAAGCCGATGAAGCTTTGTGGACAGCTTCCTGGCCTCGGGGCACTTCTATCTCCTTTGGGAACCCTGCAATTCTGTGGAGCTCTGTTATCTCTGCTGCGGTGTACCCAAACCCAGGGAAGCCGGCCATGGACTTCCACTTGTGGCTTCCCAGCTTTTCGCACTTTCTGCGTTGCTGCTACCTCCTGTCTGGGCTTGGTGGTCTCCCCTAGGTGCACTCTTAGGTACCAAAATCTGGCCCCCATTGATTTAACGCAAATAGGTACTTGTTAGTACTGACGTAATTTGGTTGGTGGCCTTAAAAATACAGAGCTCAATACCCAACCTTATGTGTTACTGGGTTATGATGTCTGTAAAAGATGCTGCTGTTGAGTTTTTCAAATGTATTGATTGAGTGCCATGAGTGCCATCTAGTTCCATTATACTGGAGAGAAGACAGACATCTCTATGGCTGATAGGGGTGGGAATCTTTGGGCACCTCACGATTCGATTACGATTACGATTCAGGGGCTACGATTTGATTATAAAACGATTATTGATGCATCTTTAATTTATGTATATTGATGCACTTTTTCACAACACACATTTCTTTTTGTCTCACTGAATAAGCATTCAACACTTGCAATTTTTAAAAACAGTGCATTTGTAATAAGAAAGAGTTGACTTCATTTCCATTATATTTTATTAAACATATAAATGGAAATGCTTGCAAACTGTAAAGTTACAACTTCGTTGTACGGAACCAAAGGTAGCAATAGGTATCTTAAATCACAAGATAAAATGCGCAGTTTGAGTAACAAACGATTCGGTGGCGACAGACGTCCACGCATCACATGTAACTGCGTTCCTACCTGCCTGCCTTCAACAGTGAGGCCATGACTTCTGTTTTGGTTTGATGGTAGAGTGTCGGTGAAATAGCGTCGGGATGGGATGGTGTATCTGGGCTCCAGTGTATGCAGCAGTGCTTGAAATCCCTGATTTTCCACGACAGAATAAGGACGCAAATCCTTGGCAATAAATGCCGCGATGGCCTTCGTAATTCGCTTCGCCTTTTCCGATGAGGGTGGCAGCTTTCTAATTGCTTCCTCGATTGTTCTCTGGTCGGTAGCGCCACTAGTTGCCGCAGCAACAACAGCCTGCCGTCTCCCTGACTCCTCCGTCAGGTGGAATCGAGTTACATGGCTTCTCATGTTTGTTGTGTTGCCAAAGTATTTTATTTTAGCACGACACAGCTTACATATAACGTAGCTCTTGTCCAGTTCGCTTCCGCCGTCAACGTTGTAGAAGCCGAAGTATTTCCACACATCTGCTTTTAAATTAGAAGAAGCTGTTCAGCTCTCACGGCGAGGTGGGTAGCGGTCAGCCATGTTTGTTTTCTTCTGTGCGCATGTCGGCGTGTCTGCTCCAGGTGCGCATCCCAAAGTGTCCCGGAGATGACACGTACTGCGCTTCTTAGTTCCACATTATTTAGAACCTTCTGTATTACTTTAATTAACAGATTTAAATAATCGAAATTTGGACGTTTGTGAATCGATTCAGATTCGTCCACGTCCGAATCGCGATGCATCTAAGAATAGGAAATTTCCCCCACCCCTAATGGCTGATATCTCCAACACTGGGCAACTCACACCAAAACTGTTGATTAAAAAAACACTACAAGCAAGAGGAAAATTATGTATTTTTTGATTTAGGGATGAACTGTAAAGCTCTTTTTGAAATTTTCTGACATTTTAAAGATTTTATAAATAAGATAACAGACAGATGAGTTTATCTCAAAACTAACCCACTTACAACTAATATTTTACAATAATTGGTCTGCTAAACAACTCTGCCCTCTTATGCGAGGTTCTTGGGTGTGTATGACTGTGTGTTACTCGCAGCAGGGGCTAAACCTGCCAGGCTGTATTACGCAACCCTGCAGGCATACCCCTGCATCCCCTCCCTCCTTTTCCCCTTTCTTCCCCTTTCTCTCCATCTCTCACCAAGACCTACGTGACCAGACTTTCCCCTCCAAACACAAGCTCTCTCCAGAGTCCCCCCCCCCATCTCTCTGAAGCGAGGTGTCGCGAGGAGAGGGGAGGTGTAAGGAGAGGCAGCAGCACAGAGAAAGAAAAAGGAAGGAGTAGCAGTTTAGAGGAAGCGCTGCGACACCTCTGAACCCTGCAGGGGAAATGCTTTGCATGTTCGCACCAGATAACAAGTGTGTGGGAAACAGTGGGGAAGATCGCAGAGAGGTGGGTGTGAGAGAGGCATCAAGTTGTCGGGACCTTTTCTTGGAATGCGTGTGTGAGTGTACAGTGAAAGAGGGAAGGAGGGGGGAGACAGAGACAGCGTGTTCAAATGCAGCATGAGCTCCTGTCAAGTACAGATGGACTCTTCCCAGAGCTGAGGCTGCTGCTCTGTCATATTCACTGCAGTGCACACACTTCATTATGCAATGTTGTGCGTACAAATGAGGCCTCCCGAGGGCCTTGAGGGATACGTCTGTAGAACTACAGGTTAAAAATTGCTTCATTTGTTCCATGAGAAACATATCAGAGACAGAATAACTGGCGCAGAGGGGGCGACTCAAGCCCCAGCTTTCAAGAAAACACCATCCCCTTGTTTTCCATCCTCCATGTACACTTGCTCTACAATGTCGTGCATTATTCATTGTAACTGTAGGAGGTGAGCACTTACAGACGTAACAACCACGCTACATAATGACAGCATACTGCACCTACACCTCATTACAATGCGACTGAGGGGAAAAATTGCTGTCTTTACACACAAAAGCCCAATGTTGTCTTGTGCATTATTCACTGAAACTGTAGAAGACAAATTCAACAGAGCTAGGCCACACAAAGCACAGTCACAATCAGCCTGAGTTTGTTTAAAACTGAAATCTCCAACATACAACATGAGTTATTCCACACCCGCAGTGCTCACCTGAAATAGGAGCTACATGTGGCCAGGACCATCTTGTGACATGGGAACTCCGTGTCCTCCACCAGCAGCACAACATCAGTCAGTAATTTCTGTTCGTAAAAGAACTTAAGCTGCTCCAGCAAGGAGACAGCATAGTCCGTGTTGACCGGCCTGCGCTCACTGAGATCCGACATGGTTGCATCCCATGAATCGCGCCCCAGTTTTGAAAAGTCACACGGCCGGCAGAACCGGACTCAAGCCAACCAGGAGAAAAAAAAAAAAAAAAAAAAAAAAACTCTTAAAGAGGATATTCAGGAGAGAGGGGGGACAGCTCTTCAACACCTCCACTGACCCAAGTGGAGGTGTTCAGCTCCTGTGAGGAAAAAACTCCTGCTGTTTCTTCTGCTGGAGATGAGTTTAAAGATGCGATGGCTACTGAGGGCTGCAGTCAGGAGTCCAGAGGAAGGAGTCCAGAGAAAAGGGTCCTGGGTGAGCAAGGGGCTGCTTCCCCTCGTGGATCTCTCGGTTGTCTGAGGTCATGCAGTGAGGCACTGGGGACCAGAGGTAGAGGGAGAGCACCACAACTGTCGCAACACTGCTACATCAGTGCTTGTCTGAAAAACACATCAGAAAAACAAAAAGAGCAGTGATGAGTCTAGAATCCATGGAAACTATCAGTACAGAAAAAAATAGTTTAAAGAGGACCCATATTGCTTATTTTCAGGTTCATACTTATATTATGGGTTTCTAATACAATATACAAGTTTTAATGGTTAGTATCCTCATATTGTCTTTGTTGGAACACCTGTATTCACCCTCTATCTGAAACACTCCATTTTCACGCCTGTCTAGTTAAGCCTGCCTCGTGAAAAAGCCCAGTCTGCTCTGACTGGTCAGTGTTTCCAGGTCATCTGTATCTCCTTGTCTCTGTACCATCATTGCAACTGGAGAATGACTATGGTGGAGAACAGCGACTCTTTCTACAGTGACAAATTCCAATAAAAGCTTCTGAACACAACCAGACATGTTCCAGCAGGAATATGATGCGAATGTGGGGAGAAATTTATCGGCCACAGCGTTTACATGTTTCCCTGACAGTAGCATGTGGCTAAATGTAGCAGTGTACATGCAGCCGGGGAAAAATGTGAGGTACTTTCTCTTGTTTAAAATCACCAATAAACGCTTCTAAGCACAACCAGACATCTTCCAGAAGAAATATGAAATCTGGGAGAAATTTACAACATTGACAACCAAGATTTCATGTTTACCTGACATTAGCATATAGCTTCATTTAGCAGTGTGGGCTACGTAACACAAACACTTGCAGTAGTGTTCCTCCTGATGACCATATAAAGAAATCGAAGCCTGAAGTTTTTGCTCCTAGGGATCAGTTTTACATACCTCATTTGAAACTTTGGCCATGTTGTATATAAACATCCATCATTGTAACATACAATGACATTCACAATGACATTCACATCCTGAAACCCATTCAAATGAGAGAACAGTACTTTCAACATTCTGGCCTCCCTTGACGGGTCACCTGCTGCCAGCTTTTCCTTCACCATACCTCCATCCCTCCCTCACTACCAGAAACTGCAATGTTGCAAAAAGTTGGCAACAAGACAGTCTGAATGCAATGACAATTTTAAAAGGTCTACAACGGTCTGTTGATTGACCTTAGACACACTAAGACAGTATCTAAGTCAGACTAATTCACAAGGGTAGCAAGTAAAAATCTACTTCATTCATACACTGGTTTATGTTTTACAGTGCAGAACCTGATTAATTACTTAAGACACCCCAACTTCATATCGTGCCACAACAGAGTTTTCCTTCAAAATAACAAGCGCATCATAAGGCTATCATAATCTTAAGTCACATTGGAAGTACAGGGGCTTCAGTCATCTTAGCATTCTGATGCTTTTGGGAAATGGGATCAGATCTTCCTGTGTGCTATGATGCCGGTATGATATATCTATATCTATATCTATATATATATATATATACCCTAGTGAATATCTTTGCATACATTTTGCAAATTACTCTGATTCAGGTGTTTTTTTTTGCATGGCTATACATGAGAACAAATCCAGACTGTAATGCATTTGTGGTCAAGAAGTTGCTGCCATGTTTTGTACATTATTAGTTCATACTTTCTGTACATATGTAAACACTGTCCCTAAATATTGGGACCAAAATTCAAATTTTTCACCTTAATTCAATCATACTCTTTCTGACTACAGGTATGCTCCTTTGCAGTAAAGACACAGCACTGTTTATATGACAATTTCTAATCAAGAGTATTGTTTTCATGAGATAACATGAGGATATTACATTCCACAAAGATAAAATCTAATCAATAAGATAAACCAGCTGGCTTTTGAGAGCGTGTTGCAATTAAGTTGGTCAGATATTAACAGGCAAGGAGTGAACCACATCAAAATGTTTCATTCAAGCATGCAGAAAAAACAAACACAAAATGTTTTGGCTGTTAAGACTTGATCTCCTCTGCTCACATCCTAAATGACATTGGGCTTTTTGGCAGGTTACCACAACACAGAGCCATTAAGCCACTTTTACCATCAATGCCTTCAAGCTGCGCAGCTCTAAGCCACCACCAATAATAAAACTACTACTGTCGACCAACAAAGCACTGTGGAGATAGCAGCAGGGAAAAATACAAAGAAATCCCAATATTTTCCTTGTGTTTTATCAACCTGTCAGCTGAATATTTGTTTCAAATTCAAAGTCGTGTGAGGGTAAATTTTACAACCACCTCCCCACCACACTATATCGGATCTGTTGAATGCTGATACCGGTGACCACACGAGACGACCTCTGATCCGGTGTCATCTATTTGCCTTAACACCTTGGCTGTTAACACGCCCTGCAACAGCTGTTAACATGAGATTCAGAATATCTTCAATTTCTGTCATGTTAGCATGAACAGTACTTAAGAACAAATTTGAACTACTTGTACTTAACTTAAATGTTCCTATTTTATGCCACTATATACTTTTACAACATCTCAGAGGGATATACAGTAATTTTTACTGAACTATATTTGTCTAACAGCTTTAGTTACTTTACAGATTAGTTTTTTTATGCCCTTCCTGTCCAGCGATAACTATGTATTTCCAGATGTTGTGATTTTTAATAATTTAACTGATAATATTCAGGCTACATACTTTTATTTAAGGTTTTGCAAAAGGACATTTACTGATGTCTTGTTGTGTGGTATTAGTATTTTTACTTAAGTTAAGGATATGAATACAAACACTAATGATACCAGATTTCAAAAACTGCCCTTGTCACACATAAAGGGACACTTATTATATTAAAACATTACCATCCGTTTGCTTTTAGGTTTGTATGTTATTACATTGTCTAGTCTTCAATGGTGGAAGAAATATTCAAACAGTGAAATAAAGTTCACTATGTGTAATATACGTACCAACAGCAAAATGTACACAATGTAATTCAAGGATTCTGTCAGACAAATGAAAAGTAAATGTACATTCCACCACTGGTCAGATATGCAGTTTACGAACAATGCGTGCAGACTATAGGTAGATGTTAGCGAGCACTGGTCGTTACATGACACATCCATCACCTAACGTTAGGCCATCTCCATACATCAACTTCAAAAGCACTAGCTGGCTAGCTAGCCAATAGTCTATTTGCGACCAATTTACGCTCTAAACCTGCTAACTAATTACTTGCTTCTGACGGTAACGGCTGACATTTGATGAGTGTTGGTTCGTCACCATTTCTTTGGACTTGCCCGATGCTGTCTGGCTAGCTACGTTAGCACGTTACCGTTAACCACCATGTCCAAAACAAACCTGTCTGCTATCTAAAACATGGCAAAGAAACATTAGACAGGCGGGCCTGTTGCAAAACTCGCTGAGGTTAGCTAACCTGACAAACCTTAACATCATCATCCATGTTGCGTTGTTTCTAAATACACGTTCAGCCATTTCTCCCCTTTGATACGCCGACTGATACACCTTATCAGCTAGCCTTGATGTAATGATATATCGCTAGCACAAGTAGCGACACTTGCTTGATTGTCACTCGCGGCAACTTAGCAACTTTAGCTTCCCTGAGCTCCACAGTTCCGGGGTAACGTAGCTGTAACCCCCAGTCTGGTGATACATACTAGCTGGCTGTTAGAAAGTCACGCGCCTAACATTCTCTGTTTAGCTGTGAAACAGTTCCAGAAAGGACATGGTAGGTACAAACCCTCTGCAGCGACCAAATTTAGAGAGCGGTCATGCTGGCTAGCAGACACACAGCTAACAGGCTAACAGGCTAAACGAGCTAAATAAACGTAAGCCAGAGCCACTTTTCAAGTTAACCACCCCAACAATTAAAAAGCCACGCTTCCTTACAGTAACTGTAGACAGACTCCGCACACAGTGAACCGTCGCGATGGCTTTTCTCGTCACCAGAAAGTGCCAAGTAAGCTCTTCAAGCCGAATTTAGACATTAAACAGTTGTGTAGAAGCGCCGAGCAGTGGACAACCTTTCAGCGCATCTTAAGCGCCTGAAAGACCAGAGGCCAAATGAGGATACTGCGCATGCGCCCAGACTCAGAGGCCTGTCCTGGTTCATAGAGGAACAGCAACATCTGGCGGACAAACGGAGACACAACTGGAAACACTCCAATAAAATAAATAACAAAATATATTTTTGCTTTACAATGCTTATATCAGAGGTGCCAAACTCTTTTAGTTCATGGCAACACACAGCCCAATTTGATCTCAGCTGGGCTGGACCTGTCAAACCATTGCAAAATAACGTATAAATAACATAGTATCCAAATGCAATTTTGACAATATGTCCGTTTTTCCACATTCAGTATGTCTCCTATTCACATGTTAGTATTCCGCTCTTGTGTGGTAATGCTAGCATCATCACACCAAAATACAGTTTATGTTAATCGAGGAAGCAGGGTAAGTTATCCCCTGCTTCACAGACCATTTACAAATGTTTTGGCACCAATATTGTTTCACAATAGAAGTGACACAGCTGCTAATTAAACAATATTTTTGCACAAGCTTATAAATAGGACCACAATAAGTATTCATTATTGTTTTTTTAGAGAGCTGCATTCTAGTCAGAGTGAATAGCCTCTGAAGCAGCATTTTACATGACATAGGCTACTCACTGTTTATCTTGCTCCTGAAACCTCTTAGGCTTCACAAGTGCATCAATATTAGGTGTGCAAAAAAATGCAGCCCCTGCATTAGAGTGTATTTTTAAGTTTTATGAGGCCTACTTTTTTTTTTAAAGATATTTTCTAGGGCGTTTTGCCTTTAATGGACAGGACGGGTACGTTTTTGAGGGGGGAGAGAGAGAATGGATGACATGCAGCAAGGAGCCACAGGCTGGGCTTGAACCCTGGCCGCTGCAGTGACAGTCTTGTACATGGGGCACCTGCTCTACCCACTATTCCACTGACGCCCCATGAGGCCTATTTTGGGCCTCTAAATATATACACATAAATAATTCTTTAATGTTACAGGGTTCATTAACCTATATTTGTCATTTTAAAACAGAGTTGCACAATGAAATGTAAGTTGTAGCCCCTTCACTCTGCACACACATATAGAGAAGATATACCAATATCTAAACTAGAATAGAATTAAATAAATAAAGTGAAACAATAAACACAATCAATGGAATGTCTCACATAAAGATTAAAATGTAAAATGGACTGACTTTTTACAACATGGAAATTCTTATTTAGCTAGAAGGCATGACAGATGGCAATAATCAAAAATCTTGGTAGTCTTCAGCATCTGTACATTTCTATATTTTATTGATTTAAAAAAATATGTATCCAATGTATAAGGCCATATTAATTTTTGTATCTAGGTCCAACATACAAAAAACATTAAAAAACAACAAAATATTCATAAATAAACCTAGATTACATATATATACATAATAAATGCACAGCTGGTTCATACATGACTTAATTAAATACTTTTTACTTTGAATCAAATATAGTTCTTTATGCTGGGGAATCCTGTTGTAATCATACCCAGCATCTTTTTTAAGGGTTTCCTATTTATTGGAAATATCAATTTGTGCTTTTACTGTATGATTGGCATTTTAAAGTATTGATTTTTTTTTTTTTTTAATGATCAAAATGGCTGCCAGATATTCTCCTATATTCCTATCATAAATAGCCTTCAGCAACAATACTCAACCTACAACCAGCAGACCAGCTGGCTAAATCTGGCCCCCGCTGGGTGGCCCCCCAAACATTTTCTAATTCACACAATAAATTGGTACTGGGATTTTTTGGTAATGTTAATATATATAGGCCTATGCATAAAAAACATCAACATTGGGCTTGTTTATAAAAAAAAAAAGAAATAAAAAAATTGCCTTATCTGGGCTCAGCTTTATATGCCTAGAAATGCCCCTGTATACATGTGCATGTGTGTCCTGTCATTTTGCAAAAGGGGCCCCGGGCGAACCAAGCTGGCCTACAGTGTATGATGCCTTTGACTTGAAGAAAAAAAAAAAAAGTCATCGAGTTGTGGCCAAGTTATTAGAAACTGTATTAAGTTAGATCACATTTTTTAATTCATGGCTTTACGGTGTATAAAAGGTTTTCACTTTTCTCCATGTAGGCCTAGTCTGTGCAGTGGGCACCAAAGTTAAATGACGACTTGGACAGAAGATGTTGTTAAAATCAAATATATATAATTAAATATGTAATCTGATAATACTTAAATAATCGACATCAGATCTGACAGGATGTGAGTGTTTTTGTGACTTCCTGTACAGACTGAAGGCAGCTGGATACCAAAGTGACCGCTTTCTTTGTCTGTGCGCCCTGCAGCGGCTAACTCTCCTCCACAAATTCTTCCACCCTTGTAGGGTCCTAGCTCCAGCTAGCTTTACCTGTGGCTCCCAGCAGCAGCAGGTGTGTCCTATATGACTAATCAGCGACAGTGCCTCGGTTTTAGTCAGCAGACCGTAATGTGGAGCTCAGAGTAAAAACTTTTCTCCTGTTGTTTGTTTATCGACAGATTTGACTGTAAAACTCGCCTTTAATTTTTCGGAGCCGGGGGACGTTTGTTTGGTTGTTTCCATCACTGTGTTTGTGTTTTATTTCTGACAGGTTGAGCAAGCACGTGAAAGAAGATGGACGGTAAATATTTCCTCATCATTTCATGTCCAAATGTTGATTTAATAACATGTTAGCTGTGTAAAGGTGTCGTTTGCATTAACATCACCTGTTTGCTTGGAGATAGGCTAATTTTACCCGCTGCTTCCTGTAGATGGAAACAAACAGCCGAACACATTTGGGAGCGGACAGCAGAGAACTCAGCACCCCAGACCTTTCTTCATTGTCCAGCCTCCTTCTCAACCTTTCTACCTCAACACACACTGGCATATGAACAACCCATACGGTCACTTTGGTGTGCCTGGAGGTATCAGACTTTGTTTTGTTGTTGAAATCACCGAGCAGTGGTTGAAGAAGTGCAGAAGTAACAATATAACAATGCCACAGTGTAGAAATTTTCTGCTACAAGTATTCAAATCCTGATGTAAAAGTATAAATACATTAGCAATAAACTATAAAGTACCAAGAGTAAAAGTAGTCATTATGCAGAATGTCCCATTAAAAAAAATATACATCAGTAAAGGATTATCTTAATCTATAATAATACATTGATTTGTTAATTCTATTTAATATTTTTATGAGCCTGCAAAGTGTCTAGCAGCCAAAGTTGTCAAAGAAATGTAGTGCAGTAAAAAGTACAACATTTGAAACGTAGTGGAGTAGAAGTATACAGTAGCAGAATATAGAAATACTGAAAAGTACAAGTACCAGTACCTTTTTTAAAATAAAATAAAAACCTTAAAGGGACAGCTTACCACAACAACACATTCTCACTCCGACCTCGTCATGTACCTACGTTTGATCATGGACTTTCCACATCGATATACGAGGTGCAAGATACTCTGTGTGCCTTGGTTGTTGATGTTCTGGGATGCTGTGTCAACTTCTGCCTGTTAGGCTACAAACATTGTCTGTTTTCAAAATACACTTCCGTTATCAGAGGAAACATACAGTTTGCATAAGGTCACTTTAAAAAACAACAACAAAAAAAAAAAACGCACTACACCGGTACAACACAGCAAATTGACGTTTTTTTTTCCTTCAACAACAAAAGCACATGGTTACGTTTTGTCTACATGTGTATGTGGTTGGGTTTAGGAAAAAAACGCCCCATTGGACTTTCGCCACCTTGACCTTTATGGCTGTCTCGCCACATGTTCCCCTGATGCCGCTGCGACTGGCCATGTATCATGCCAACATGAAAGTACGGGTTTCTTTGTTGGTGTCTGACGCCGGAAGTCACTGACCAAATGCCAGTTTTCGACGACTTCAGAGTGAGACTGGGTTGATCACAAAATCAAAAATGCATGTTTTTCCTCTCACCTGTTGTGCTATTGATCATTCACCAGTTGTTTTGGTGTGAGTTGCTGAGTGTTGGAAATATGGGCCATAGATGAAGGCTTCCTTCTGCTCTGTGATACAGTTGGCAGGTGTAGCTCAGTAGACAGATAATGTGTTTCTTTTTTGTGTGTGCTGTTAAGATTTATGGCGTCTGTGCTCATCTCTTTTTTTTTTTTTTTTTTTTTTTTTTTCACTGGAACTGAGCCACAATGCTATAACACAACAATTATCACCAACTTTTCTTTTGGGTGGCAGTAATAATAAAGTATCAGGTGTTCTTATGGTATGTTCCATTTGCACTTGGAAGTCGGAATTTTTGTGTTCCCAGTTGGAAATCTTAACTGTAAAGCCAGCTGAAGTGGCATTTCCGACTGGGAAAGTTGGAGTCTAATATGGCTGCTTCGTACATCAACATTAGTTAACGCTGTTGTGTTTGTTAGTACTAAACACAATCCGGTGGTCCAACTTCTATCTGTGGACATGTTGCTACAGTCTTTGCATGCACAAAATACAGTGTAGTGCATTATCTTACCTGGCTTGAACTGGTATTTCTAAAATTATCTTGGTTTTCCGACTTCTTGTACTGAAACACAATCGTATTGAGTGTGACGTCATTCTCAGCTCCAACCTCCAACTTCTGAGGTAAATGGAATGCAGCATTTTTCCCAGGTTGTCATTTGTTGACGCTTTGTCACACCCCTTAGCATGTGATAGCGATGCACAGGGCACCCTCAAGCGCCTCATTGTAACACACAGTTGAAACACATTCATTCATTCATTTTCTGTAACTGCTTATCCTGTCAGAGGTTGCGGGGCTGCTGGAGCCTATCCCAGCTGACACTGGGCAAGGGGCGGGAGACACCCTAGAGTCACCAATTAACCTAGCCTGCATGTCTTTGGATTGTGGGAGGAAGCTGGAGAACTTGGAGAAAACCCACGCTGACGTGGGAAGAACATGCAAACTCTTTGAACCCCCCTCTCTGAGTTTGAACCAGGAACCCTCTGAGGCGACAATGTTAACCACTGCCTGTACAGTAACTGTAATATGGTGAAACAGTTGTGGTTAGTTTTAGGCAACAAAACTACTTTGCTAGGTTTAAAAAAACAATGGTCATGTTTTGGATTCATATAAATACGTTTCGTACATAATGTGATGTAAACACGTCACATGAGAGACGTCAGTGGCAACGACCTTTAACTTTATGCTAAAACACTTTGACTTTGGACTTTTGGCTTCAAATGGTGAGGTCTACTTGGTGTTTCAACACATCCACCTCCCCTTCCTCCTGCCCTACGCGGACGTTCTCGCTCTATACACAACATCACTTGCACTCAGCATCAAGTATTGCCACAGATGGGTTTACATTGGAGTTAGTTGGAAGGCTTGTCATAAAGATGCTAAAGGGTACCATCAGCGTCTATCACACAGTGAGGGACATGACAAAGCGTTGGTATTTGACGACCTGGGGATGAAAAAAAACAATTCCTGCATGAAACTGCTTGAAACAAGGTCTGTGGATTATCTTGAGTAACTGGGTCATGATTTCTGAAAAGAGACATTGCTGTTGAATTGTTCAGATGTATTTTTTGGTGCTTTTGAGCACCACAAATCGAGTGCCAACTAGTTCAATTATATTGGAGAGAAGTCAGACTTTTCTACGACCAATATCTTCAACACTTGGCAATTTAAACCTAAACAATCTAGACTAATGAGTAGCACTATAGGTAAGAGAAAATGTATTGTTCTCCGTTACATTCCACCACTGTTGACCACTAATGATTCCCTGAAATGTCACTTGTATGTTTACACTCCCAGGTTTTAACTTTGGCCGTCCCTGCATGCACCCACACCAGTACATGCCCTTTCCTGGGTTTGTTTTCCCACATGCCCCGATATATCCGATAGATTACAGGCGAGTGTTTGAGCCTCGCTTCCATGCCCCTGCCTGGAATGACATGCTTCGCCATCAGCAGCACTACTCACAGCCTTACGGGCGTCGAGAAACGACCTGCTCAGAGGCTCAAACCGACCCAAACGATGCCATAATCAAACTAAGAGAGTGCCTGGAAAAAATGCAAGCCACTGAGCTGCAAGGTGCTGAGAGAGAGCTCGACTCTGGTGTCGCCTCACAGACCTCGGGGATGTTTTCTCAAGCAGAAGAGAAGAAAAGTGAAGAGCAAGGTGATATCCTGCCTTCAGTGCCTGATGCGGAGTCTCCAGCTGGGATCTTTGGTGTCTCCACTACAGCAGTGTATGACGGTGAGTCCAGCCAGAGAAGCTTAGATGTCCTGAGCCCTCCGGGATGCTGGTCAGCAGAATTGGAAGAGGAGTTGCCTCTGGATAGCTCCTCTGTTCATGAAGAGTGTCCTGAGCTGGAGCAGTCGGCAAAAGACGAACACTTCCTCCCTATTGAAGAACCAGAAGTTGCGGATATCCAGTCAAATATCTCAGCGACTGATGCAAGTGTTCCCAAATGTGACACTGAAGAGCTCCTTAGGCAGAGAGTGGATCCAGTCCTGCCTTGCTTTTCCTCTTCCACCAGTCCTCTGGTGCTCAAAGATGCTGAAAGTGGCGACAAAGTCTCCAAGACGGAACATCAGAAAGCTGATCCAAGCTACAAGATCCTCAAGCTGCCTTTGGAGAGAGTTTCGACACCTGGAGGTGCTGCAGCCAGCAGCGTCTGCCCCCCTGCTGCTCCCTACTACTACAATTACCTCTCCATGCAGACCACTCATGAGCGGACGAGCGTTCTCAGTCTATCTCTGGATGAGCTTTCCTCCAGGGATGAGATGTTCTCCACAGATCTGGACGATGCAGATATTTTCCCTAAACATGTGTATACAGGCAGGAGGCTTGCAGAGGTTGTAACTGGGTCTCCACAAACTGCTGATAAAGTAGAAGTGTGGCCGCCAGGTTCAGAGAGATTCATGTGTGCCTGCTGTGGGAAAAGCCTCGCAAAAGGGGTGGGAAGGAGCAAAGTCCACAGCTTCAAGGTGTCCAGAGAGGAACCTGAGGACTCTGAGGAGGAAAGCAGTTTTGGGAGAGGGTGTGAGCAGCCAGTCAGAGTGGTTGTGAGGAAGCATTCTGCACCCAGGAAGCCTCATTCTCTTCCGCCAAGACTTGCTGCAAAATCCCGGTATAAGAGAGGCCAATACAAAGACCCCTCAGATCCAGTGAACCAGGAGGAGGGTCGTGATGTTTGTAAGCAGGAACCAGCTGATGATGAGATGGTAGAAATGGCTGGTGGTGAGCTGCGGTGCAGCAAACAGTGTCTGGGTAAGTCTCTGCCAGGAATATTTCTTTGGTGGACTTGATGATTTTCTGTGCTCTGTTAACAGACATTTTTTACTCTTGTTGTTTAACCATGTTAGAGATATTTACTGAAAGTGCGAACTGTTTCATAGACAGACTCCGCAGAGAGGCCCTGACCAAGTCAGACCAAGGCATGTGGGGAGGTGGTGACATGATTCCCAGGAGGAGACAAGTGACCCCTCTGCAACGACAAGGTTGAATTTAGTCACGCACAATCTCAGTCTTCTCCTGCACCAACAAAATTAACAGAGGCAATTATTGTGCAACTCAGAAATGATCAAAAAGCATCAATCTGCCCAAACAGCCCGTGCAACATAATTAGAATTTGGCAGCCAAGTTAGAACAGTTTTGCTCTTACATTTATAATTTAATTTACCCCTTTTATGTTTGTGAAATGCTGATGGACCACACAACCTGAAGTTGGGAGCTCACTACACAGTATAAAAGCCCCAAACCACCATCTGCTTTAAAGATTATTTCAGAATCAGAAACACTTTATTGATCACTCTATGCAATCAAGCATAGAGAAACTGTAAGGACAAAAGGAAACCAAAATAAGAAGTAGGCCTATGTTGAAATGTGTGTGCATTATGCTACATTCATGGATGGAGTGCTTAACAGGCCAACTGAGCACAAGCTATATCCACAATCACTCCCTTTATTTGGTAGCTACTGCATTATATTTACTTCTGAGTTTGTTTTCTTTCTGTCCAAAAGATTTAATTTGTAAAGAAGCTCTGGATGGAGCCTCTAACCTGACACTCCTACAGTTAACATTGCAGACTGATCTGAATTAAGTTATTTTTATTAAGATTTTTACACACATACAACAATGATCATAAAATGTTCATGCGTGTTAAAAAGAACAGTAAGTGCTGAGTTTTGACACAGATGGTTAGCAAACTACTGAATCAATGTGAACCAAAGGTGTAGAAGAACAAAACAAAAAGCAGCGGTAGTGATGACATGCATTCTTATTTTCTGAAATTAACAGGTTTCAGCATTTTGATAAATTGTTTTTTTTTTCCTCCAATATAATATATCTCAGCCTCTCTCCCCCTCTCTCAGCAAGGTAGGGTGCAAGAATTACGTTAAGTTTAGTTGAACATTTAAAGACAGAAAGTGTGAGCTGCGATAATCAATATTTAATGTGTTTGTCCGCTTTAAAACTTTGAAAATGTTCCAGGCTAAACTTGTTTGATTGTCCTGAGGGGTATCAAGACGTGGTGTGGTGCTGTATACATTTTGCTGTGATTTTCTTTTTAATTCATAGATATAATGCATGCTTCTTCTCATTCTTGAAATGTTTCCATTGTTGTGCCTCTGGTATTTATTGTGCTCACTTGTCCGCTGGATAGAGAGGAGCAGTCAGAGGAAAGTGATGTACCAAAGGCCAAGAGACGAGGATGATGATGATGATGATCTGCCACCATCACACTGGGAAAGAGGTTAACTTGTTATTTTCTTTTCCAACACTGGTAACACTGACCTGGCTATCACTTTTCTTTTAAATTTGTTTTTTCTTTTGTCTTTTTCAGGCTCTATGACAAGAGGAGAACCAAGATGTTAATGTCCCAAAAGTGTATTGAACTGTAGGTAAAATGCTAACGAGACTACACACAAGAGCATTGTTATTGCATAAATATACATTGCATACATTTAATATGTTCAAACTTCTGTGTTTAATGACATGTTGTCTTTCCTCCTCAGGTCCCCCCACAAGTTGTAATTGTTCCAGCAAAATGTGTTATGTAAATATTTAGCGCACCAGGTGAAATGCACTGCACAAGAAGCATATTTTTGTTTAGACAAAAGTTCAAGAAAAAAAGGTTTTGCAGTGATACTGCCTTGCACTACCCATAATTTATAATTTTCACAAAAAGAAAAATGGGCTGAGAGGTTCTAGATTGTTGTCAAAAGAAATTGCAGATGATGTTGTGCCACAATTCGGGGCCAGTCCAATAAAATATTGTTATTAGTTAAACTTTGTGTTGAATCAATTGAAATCATAACATCTTGTAACTGTTGGCATTATAGTCAGATTTATTTTATAATGAGGAAATTTAAATCGTTCAGTGTCCATCTTTGTTATTACTGGTTGGGCCCGGTTATTCAGAAGTAATCGGATCGGATTTCGGCTATCAGACTGGATCAAATAATGACAATGGGTTGTCCAAAAGAAAACAAGGATTCTAAAATTGGACTGAATCACATAATTCAGTCTTGATTATAATCTGGAACAGTATGTGTTGTTCAAAAGTTTTTTAGTAAGAATGTGATTCCCATCAAAATATTCACTAGCAAGGACCACGCCATTAACAAGATGCATTTAAAGGTTTTATTCAAGAAGAAACATGACTGATGTGCAAGGCTTGGACTGCTTGTAGCTCATGCCCTTTGCCAGATACAATGTGGGGAAGCTTGACAGGGAATAGCACCTGGGCACGACATACACCTTCAGGACCCTACATAGACTAAAGGAAAAAAGGAAGAAGAACAGTATGTGAAAGAGGGGCGAAGAATCCAAGAGCGGAACAGGAGGAACGGGTTTGGTGGGTATTCATGCAGGAAGTGACATGGTTGAGGTGTGATCCTGCTTCTGAAATTCTGTTAGATTGTTTAAAGAAAAAACAGTATTATCCTGATCCCAGCAGAAGGGTCCATTTCAGGAGCAAAATGCAATAAAACTTTTAAATTGGTGAATATATATATATTTATTATTATTTTATTTTTTGAATTTGATTTAACTGTTACAGTAATAAAGTAGCCTTTCAATTAAGCCTTTCAGATCAGTTCTTTAAAAAAAAAAAAAAAAAAAGATTTTGTCATCATTCTGATTCAGATTATCATTTTTAAACAACTGGGTCCTGGGGTGTATTCAAAGACAGGATTTCTGATTTACATGTACTGTATCTAAACAGCATGGAGTAATACCAGACGGCAGTTTAGGGTTTTGCTCACCTTGGATTTTACGCTTGAAGCATCAGATGTTACTCTACCAGTATGTCTGCACACCTGTTATTTTGACCTTACAGCAGCCTTCAACACCATCAACCGCACAATTCTCTCCCACCTTGAATCCTCTCTCAGCATGACCTGTACTGCCCTCTCCTGGCTAAGGCCATACCTCACAAACTGACAACTGTTCATCAACATAAACAACTGCACTTCCTCCCTTGCTCCTCAGTCCAAAGGTATCCCCCAGGGTTTGGTGCTTGGTCCTCTCCTATTCATCCTCTACATACTCCCTGTGGGTAACATCATTCACAGCCATGGTCTCAACTTCCACTGCTATGCCACTGACGTCCAGCTCCACATCTCCACTAAATCCATTCAAAACTTCTGCCCCACCATTTTTAATTTCATTCAGCATTCCTTTTCACACATCAACAACCAGGGGCGGAAATCCCAGGGGGGACAGGGAGAACATGACTCCCCCTTCAGTAAAGCTGTAGCCCCCTAGAATCATTTGAGACACAATAATTTTTGAACAATGCAGTAGTATTTATTAAAAGCACAATGTAAGCAGTGCTCATTATAATCGCGCAATAATGTGCTATTTAAATCTTAAAAGATTTAGTCCCCCCCTCCCATTCCTAGTAGTGGTATATCCCACACTCTTTCCAACGGGCGGGGCTGCTTGGCAGCAGTAGCAGTGTGTGGCTGGAACCGCTGTCCACATCGAGCATCGCAGGGTAAGATGTTCACTCACACAGACACAGTTTAACTTACACATGTTACAACACATCCCATTTACTGTTACAACAAGCCCTAGGCCCAGGCTGATAATATAAACTGTCTGCAACATTTCTACTGCATTGTTCAAAAGCCTACTCAATTACGAGTGCTGCTAAGCTAAAAGCTAATGATTAAGCTCAGAGTTTAGTCATAGAGAGGACAGGAGAGAAAGAAGAGGGAGAGGACAGGACAAGAGCAGTCAGTGAAGGAGCGGCTTGTAGCTAATGGGTACCTGTCTGTAGGCTCTCCACCTGTCAGTGAGACAAACATGAAAGACGTGCAGACAAGGAGTGGTATAAAAGACAGGCTACAACTTTTTTTCCTTGTCCCCCCGGAATTATTCTCTAAAATTTTACTGTTTATTGTCCCCCCCAACTATGAAATGGGATTTTCACCCCTGTCAACAATCTCTGAGCAAATTTTGACAGCAACCACTCCTTTGAAAAACCTGTCAATTAAATCACCAGTACTGCCTTCTTCCACCTAAAAAACATAGCTCGTCTCCACCCAGTGCTCTCCCCTCTATTGCCAAAACTTTGATACATACCTTCATCACATTCAGAATTGACTACTGTTCGTTAGATATGGCGGCAGCAGGAAATTACTCTTCATTTGCAGAACCAGGTGTGATTTACACCGATCAGCCACAACATTAAAACCACTGACAGTGAGAGGTAAGTAACACTGGTCACCTTGTTTAGATGCAATGTTCTGCTGGGAAACCTTTGGTGCTGATATTCATATGGATACCACCTGATACATAGCACCCACCCAAACACCAACAGGCCCGTTTCCACCGCAGGAACTTCGGGGTAATTTTATGGGGCCGGAGCCGTTGGTGCGTGTCTCCACCGCAGGAACCACCCCCGAAGGACAGAGTTCCAGAACTTTTACGGGGGCTAAACAAGTCCCTGCCTCGGAGTAGGTACTCAGAACAGCCCCAAAAGACTCCTGGCTGGGGCTTGGGGGTTACTTGGTGCTGATTGGATATACTCAAGGAGGGATGTGACGACAACAGAAAGCAACAAAATAGCCGGCATTTTTAAAACTCAGCAGATGAGGGTTAGCTCGTTCATATAGCTTCCGCCACCATGTAAAAAAAACTCACTAAATGGCCCGTGAGAAAAATACTCTTTCCAGCGGATATCTTAGTTACAACATGATTGAGCTAGCAAAGCAGTTTTGTGTTGATATGTGTGGTATGTATTCAGTTATGGGAAGTCACGATGTCTAGAAAGCATCGGCTAACAGCAACAGCAAAGCTAACATCAGGACGTCATCTGTTAAAAGCCTCCCATTGTCGGATATGACATGAAACTACTCCAGTTAGCTCAATCATGTTGTAACTAAGACATCCGCTGGAAAAAATATTTTTTTCACGGGCCATTTAGTGAGTTATTACACACACCGCTATCAGCTAACGGCGCCCCTACATCGCCCCAGTCAAAATGGTCGCGCAACGATTACGTCACATCCAGAGGCAGCCCGTAACTTTACAGGAACCTTCCTCATACTCCGCTCTCTCAGTGGAGACACGGCGGTTGAGAGGGCCGAACGAGAGGACGTTCCTGTAGTAGTTCCTGCCCCCCAAATAGTACCAGGAACTTCTTCAGTGGAAATGGGCCTATTGTAGACCAAATACCTAACTTCAGGCCCCCCCAACAGGACAACACACCATGCCACACTGCAAAAACTGCTCAAGAATGACCAAAGGAAAGTGACAAAGACCTCAAGGTGTCGACCTGGCCTTTAAATTGCCCATATCCTGATCCGAAAAAAAGCAGTGTGCTGGTACCCCAACTTGAAACTCACAAGACTCAAAGGATCCACCACTAACATTCTGGTGCCACACCACAGTACACCCACAGAAGTCCAGTGTCCATGCCTTGACAGGCCGAGGCCCCGCTGTGAATTGGACTTGGGTCTGACTTGTCAAGGCATGAACACAAGACCTCTTCTTCTCATCTTGTGGATGCTTGATCAGATTGGGATATGGGGAATTTGGAGGCCAGGTCGATGCCTTGAGCTCTTTGTCACATTCCTTGAGCCATTCCTGTTTTTGTGTATCTACTGACTAACTAGAGGAATTTGATTCAAGTTCTGTTTTCAAGCAGAAATGGCAAACATTTACTGATTGCTGCTACTCATACATGTGGCTATTTCTTTTATGTCACTGTAAAGTGAATATACTTGGGTGATAGTGCTAATCACAAAGGGCTCTTTCAGCATTTTCTGACATTTGATTTACATTACTGTTACCTGCCACCCTCCTATCTACTTTGGTACACAAGAGATATGTTCTGCAAATAGCAGAAAGTGCTGTTCTTGTAAACAGCAAAATTATATTATTATGGTTGCCGATATTAAGGCTTTGAAATTAACTGTAAAACCTGTGTTAGAGATGTTTTTCCCCTGGAAGCTCACAGACCAGATTCCAAACACAGAAAACATCTTTAAACGTTAGTACTGATTTAAAATCACTGACCAACACACCGGTCCCAGAGAGCATGTTTATTTTTCATGGATAATCTCATCTATAAATACTGCTCGAGGCTACCAAACAAGCTCATAATTGGCTCTTCAGGGGTCAAACCTGAAGCATGAACATGTGCTTTGCATTTTAAAGAAGCCAGTTTTTTTTACTCTGCTCACCTGCAAACAACCCTCAAGAAAATGAGCCTCACAGAGATGCGAAAATGAACAGGATATGCCACTTTGAGCCACAAATCTCTAACGTGTGTTGATGATTCTGACAAGCTGCAGGTCTGTTTCCTTAATTAAAGCCAATCAGCATCTCACTTCTTGGTTTCAAGTTGATTCAACTCATCCATCTACTTTTTTTCACCTATCTCTGATCGTTTGTCTCCCTTTCCTCAGGTGAGTTGATGCACCGCAGTGGGAGGTAATCAAACATTTTTCATGAGGTCATCACACTCTAATTGGATAAGTGTCACCTGGTGCCAAAATCTGGCCAATCAGTGCAGCATTTGACAAGTATCATGAGTCCACACTTGATTTTTAATTTAAAACATACTTTCAAAGCTGTGTTGGTTTCTCAGTGGTAATCTTGAGAACATTAACTGAAACCATCTGCTATCTAGCAACAAGTTTGCCGATAATTCTTTCAACTTGCTTCTCGTCTCTTTGTCAGAAATGGAGGCAGCCACATCTACCTTCCAACAATATGGTCTTGGCCCTCGGGGTCCAAACCCAACATACAGAGCTCAGCAGGCCCAGGGGCCCCAT